CTTACAAACCTTGTTTTCTTGTCCATGAATCGCAAACCCTTTTGATTGGTCCTTATAGACTTTGTAAGAACGGTGTATTTTAATCCTTATTATATTATAATATTTTATCATTTTAATCCATTTTCTGCTAAATTTCGAGTTAACAAGCAAAGTATATCTGTCGTTTAAATTTTCACGGGCTCAGATTGTCATCAAAATGTAAATAAGAGTTTTATATATCGCATAGAATGAGAATTTAATCTCAATTAATTTTTCTAATCTAAGGAGAACAAATTTATTTGGAATAAACATTTATTAGAAAATTATGTTTTGTTTTGATTAAAAGGTTACGATAGAATTTTCTGTTTCCATAAAAGTTTGTGAACGAATTACTACTCGTTTAAGAGTGAACGCGGGGCTGGATAAATTAATGTAACATAAAGTAAAAAATATCTTGGTATTTTATTATTTAGTCATAACGAGTGAGTGAGAGATCCAAAGGCTTAACTTGTGAGTGAAAGATCCAAAGACTAAGGTTCATCCTTATCACATATCACTATTCAATCTAAGGGTCCATGTTGAATGACTTAACATACAAGTGCATGATCATGAGAAAATCAAATTTTCTCTTTGCATACATTCCTTTCCCTCTCTCGGTCAAACACACCATACACAATACCATGCACATGTGTTTTCTCCTTTCTGTTAGTGCGTGAGACACTTTTAGTGAGGAGAAAAAGAGAGAGAATAAGGAAATAAGGATTTATTGAATGAATTGTTGCAAATAATGATACATATTATGACTATTTATATACAACCCTAATTGGATTTGAGATAACACAACTTGGATTATATTTAAATATTAAATCTAATATAATATAATATTTCAACATACCCCCCCCATAATTCAAGTTGTCGGAGCTATGCTAATCATAGTCGATCTGAACTATTCCTAATTTCTTTCTCAAATTCAGGAATATGTCAATATTCAATCCTTTGGTAAAAATGTCGGCCAACTGTGCTTCACTTGAGCAGTGCCTAACTTCAAGTTCACCTCGATTTACCTTTTCCCTTAAGAAGTGAAATCTAGCTTCAATATTTTTACTTCTTCCATGCATAACTGGATTCTTCGCCAGATTTATGGCAGATTTGTTGTCCATTTGCAACAAGAGGTTTCTTCACTTTGACCTCCATTTCTTTAAGTATCGATCTAATCCAAATTGCTTGACATGCAACATATGATCCTGCTATATATCCATCTTCACATAATGATAATGCTACCACAAGTTGCTTTCTCTAGCACCATGAAATTGGGGCACCAAATACTTGAAAGAAATATCTAGTAGTGCTTTTTAGATCTTCCTTATCTTCGCGCCAGACAACATATACATAACAAGTAACCATAGCTTATTTGCTTTCAGAGCCTCATCAAAATAAAATTCCATAGTTTTTCGATCCTTTGAAGCATCTCAGGATTCTTCTTGCAACCTTCATGTGTGACACCTTTGGTTCACTCATGTATCTACTTACTAATCCGACTGAGAAACATATATCAGGTCGACTGTTGCACATATATCTTAGAGATTCAAAAATCTATTTGAAAAAAGTTGCATCGACTTTGTCTTCCTCTCCATGCTTCTCCAACTTTAAATTTGGTTCGATAGGCGAAGCTGCAGAAGTCGAATCATCCATTCTGAATCTCTTGAGTGTCTCTTTGACATACTTTCTTTGATGTAACACCATGTCTTTCTTCGACATTTGAAATTTCATGCCTATGAAGTATGACAAATTTCCCATATTCGACATTTCAAATTCCTTCTTCATCAGCTCTTTGAACTTCAACAAGTTCTTCAGGCTATTTCCAAATACTAGCAAGTCATCGATATATAAGCATATTATAGTTATATCTTATGCCATAACTTGAACATAGACACCATACTCAGATTTGCATTTTACGAATCCCAATTCAACCAAGTATGAGTCGATCTTCTTGTTCTATGCCCTAGGTGCCTGCTTGAGCCTATAGAGCGCTTTTATAACTTGTATACTTTACTTGCTTCCTCCTGAATCACAAACCCAGGAGGTAATGTGACATACACCTCTTTTTTCTAAAGATCCATTCAAAAATTCTGATTTCACATCTAAGTGAAATGTTAACCATCCTTGCTTGCATGCCAAGGCCACCACTAGTCAAACAGTTTCCAATATTGCGAAAGGTGCAAATACTTAAGAGTAATAGAGTCCTTCTCTTTAGATAAATCCTCGAGTTACCAATATCGCCTTATGCCTTGCTATCGACCCATCATCATTGCGCTTCAACTTGAACACCGACTTTACTTCGATAGCTTTTGTATGAGCTGACAATTTGACCAACTCCCATGTGTTATTTCTTTCAATTACTTGTAACTCTTTGACCACAAAAGACTTCCATTATTTATCTTTGAAGGCTTTGCTATAATTGTTTGGTTCAACACCTGCAAGTTCTTTGACTTCATCATCACCAACCACTTCATAGTCTTGAAGTCTTGTTGGACGAGCTCTAGTTCTTTGACGTCTCTGACTTGTGCTAGCCATATCCTCTTCGACTTCGACTGTGTCGAGAATGTCAGCAGCTGCTTCGACTTCTTCTTCGACTAGAGTATCAACAATATCTTCGACTTCAACATTATTACTTACTTAGTCGAAATCATAGTTCATCAATGGCTTGTCAATTATGTTACTAGAATTCCAATCCCAGGCCATGTCTTGACTCATCACAATCTTCTAATTAATTGGATTGAACAACCTGTATCCTTCAGTCTTATGATATCCTACCAGAATCATATTTTCACTTTTATCACCAATCTTCCTTCCCCTGGCATCAGGAATATACTTGTAGTAAATATAGCCAAACACCTTCAGATGACTCGCTGATGGTCGTTTTCCACTCCACACTTCTTCATGAACCTTGTTCTTCAGCTTCTTGGTAGGGAACCTGTTCAGAATATAAACAGCAGTCGAACAGCTTCTCCCCATAAGGATTTTGGCAAACTCTTTAGCTTTAGCATGCATCTCGCCATGTCCAATATGGTCTTGTTTCCTCTTTCTTCTATTCCGTTATATTGAGAAGTATAAGGAGAAATTATCTCATGATCAATACCTTGTTCTGCATATAATGCTTCAAATATCTTGGATGTGTATTTGCCACCTCCATCTGTTTGCAGAACTTTAATTTTCTTTTCACCTTGGTTTTTGACAAGTATCTTGAATCTCTTAAAGATTTCAAATACTTCGTCCTTTTGTTTGATCATATAAATCCAGAGCTTTCGACTGTACTCACCAACAAATGAGACGAAATCCTTGTTTCCTCCAATGGTATGCTATTCGAAAGGACCACATACATCTGAATGTACAACTTCGACTATGCAGGATGATCTCATTGGCGTAGTCGAAACAAAAGACTTCCTGGAATGCTTTCCGACTATACAACCTTCACGGAGTTTGTCGCGCATCTCAAGACTTGGTATATCAATTACCATATCTCGAGTGATCAGTTGATTTAGCGACCTAAAGTTCAGATGACCAAACCTTAGATGTCACAACCAACTATTCTTGTGGTCGACACCTGTTTTCAGACATTGTACCACAATCGAATTGATCATGGTCTTAAATGTTCTATTCTTCGATAGAGGAGAATTCAAGACCAAGTTATTCTGAATGTCAAAAAGTTTTAAGGCTCCATCTTTCATAACCACTGAGAACCCTTTTTCGACCAATTATCCAATACTTAGCAGATTGCACTTCATTCCAGGGACATATAGTACATCTTTGATCAAGGCTTTTGCTCCATTACTCATTTGAATAACTATGTTGCTAATACCTTTTGCGGCAACGATCTATTATCAACAAGTTTTACCTTACTTTTCTTCGAATCATCGAAATCTACTAACTATGATTTCTTACCAGTCATGTGATTCAAACAACATGAGTCGAGGAATCAGATTTTGGATTTGGCATGGTCATCTGCAACAACAGTCATAACCAACATATAAAATAATAGTTCAAAATTCGATTTTTAGCAATAAAAAGTTAAAAGTTAGTTTTAAGTAAAAAAAAATTGATAAAGAAAATCCTTAGGACCAATCACAATTATTACAATGTAAAAGTATGTAAACTTAATATAAAGGTTACTACTTGTAATGAGTATAATGGCGGTGACACTGCATGTCATAAATGAGAAAGTTTTGCATAGATATGAAGTTTGGACACAAAATCTAGACACACACTATAAAAATAAAAATAAAATTAAATAAAATATATTTTAAAATATTTAAATGATATGTTTGCGTCCAAATAATAATTTGTTGGGTTGTGACTAAGCAAATATTTTTTTATGACTTATCTCATTTTATTTATTTTTTATCAATCCAAACAATGAAATATTAACTTATTTCATTTTATCCCGTCTATTCATACATAAATTAAAAATAACCAAAAAGAAAATTGAAGAAAAAAAATATTAAAAAATTGAACAATGCTTAAAGTAACAATAAATATTATAAAAATTAACTAACATTACAATATATTCTTCTCCTAACTAAAGTGGTAATTTTGCTTCCCTATAATTTAACTGTTCTATCTACCTCATCGAAAAAATTTATATAAAAAAAAAATATCTATATTTCTTTTCATTCCTTCAAATGCAAGAAAGAAACTTCAAATACACTCCTTATCAGATACTCTTCCTATTGCTCTTTGTCACAATACACCAATAGAGTAATTGTTTCAAGCTTCTGCAAAAAAATAAAAAACATAGGATTTTTATATATATGTGATAGTTGCACACATATTATATTGTAAGTTATGTTTTCGAAATCTCTATAGCATTGACATTTCAAATTGAAAGTGCGTTCGGTTTTAACATGTATCAATATTTGTAATTGTTAATGCTTCTAAAATTCACACTGTTCATTCTTTTTAAACTTATAACTTGTTTATTTATGACATGATGATAATCACGATGATTACATTTGAAAAGTACATTAACTTAAGAGAGGCTTGTTTGCATCAAACTCACTCTCTAAGAAATCTTCACGATCTACATATCCTTCTTTCCCTTTGGCCCAAAGAACCATGTAGAGTCCACTGAACATAAGGAACATGCCACCAATGCTGCAATATTGAATGCAATATTAATATATTAGATTCTACAATTTAGTATAATATAGTTTGCATAATAGCTACAAACCTTAATAATAAGGTACCTACCTTCCAATATTAACAGTTTCTCCAACAGTAAAGACTGAAAAAATAACTGAGCATACTGTTCCAATTGGGCTAAACATGGAGACAAAAACAGGTCCTCTCTTCTTAAGTGCCCATCCATTGAAGCTTAGGCTTATTCCACTTACTCCACCAGCCTGTGCATTTACAATGGTAGAGTTTGCTAATTTGTTATCCATGAAATTGAAAATCGTTGATAGTGTTGGTCTTTTGGAGACAATTTATATAATTCAACTCAAAAATATTAATGTGATCCAAATGCATCCGGACAAAATAAGGAAATAGTAGAAATTACCAGAATGGAGAAGCCTATGATATCTCCAAAACTCACAAGTTGCAAACCAGATTTAAGGTCGTCACCTTGAAGTTTTTGAACAACTGCAGTCATGAATCCTCCAAACAACGATGTTATTGCGCTCAATGACATTGGTGCAGGAAAATCTCCAAGAGCAAAAGCCTACAGAACCAACATTTTCTATTGAGCCAAATAAATTTAAGTTTGGTTTTTATGTTCTCTTTATTATATGATTATCACAATAGTTACCTGTAGGACAACACTGCTTGATAATATTAAAACTGAAATCATTAGATAGATGCAACCAACTATCTTTTTCTTGTCAAAGAGAAGACGTGATGGTGTTGATGGTGATTGAAGAAGTGTAACCTCTTTTTCGATTATAGGAGCTGAAATGCTTTGCATTATGCTCATTGTAAGAGCTCCTACTACACATAGCAATGTTCCTATGATTTTTAATTTACTATACTTTTTGCTTAAATTAACTTTCTCTAACCTGCCAAATACAATAATTTCCAATCATTAGCAAAAACATTATTATTTAAAGGCTTTTGCTAACTTTGTTGACAACATTAAGCATGTTACTCAGTTTTGGATTAAATGTGAATTGAATTGTAACATTCTATCCCTTCTTGTTTGTTTAAGCATTAGTAAAAATGATCAAAACCTATTAAATTGAAATCAAATTACCCAAAAATCCATGCAATGATGAAGATAAGACCTGGTGCAAGGTTTGGCATAGCAGTTCCCATTGCCGGTGAAGTTAGATTGATTCCCTTCAAGAATAAAGTTTGAAAAGCTAATCTGCGCAACAATAGATGACAAAATTTTGAATCAATAATTTTTGTGTGTGATGTAAACGATATAATTTTGTGCATAATTACAAAGACTAATATATCGAGGTAGAGAAAACTACAAAAACTAATCTCTCAAAGTAAAAAAAAAACAAAACAAAAAACCACCAAAACACTTTATCAAAAGATTTAGTAATGTTACCTTCTAAAGATGAAATTTAAACCAAAAACTTGTTATTAAACTAACTAATAATAAGTTATAAGTTCCTTACCCTCCAAATGAAAGAAACCATATCTGCATCATAAACCCTAAATTGAATTTCCTGGGCCACTTACTCCTACATGATGACACACATTATAATAAAACAATCTTAAAAAATTTCAATCCTAATAAAATAAAATAAATCACATTTTCATAATCAAAATCAAAACCTTTCAAAACAAAATGCAGCAGGAAAAAGAATGAGAAATGTAGCAATGGAAGTGAAAACAACAATGGTGAGAGGGCTAATTCCTAATGACATTGAATAACTCATCAACTCAGCATTTCCTGCATATATAAATTGAACTCCTATCAACCCTCCAATCAATGCCACATCTTCCACCACCCCCATTTTTTTCTTCTTCCAATCAAATTCAACTAATTATATCAATTTTTGAATTTCCTTTCTCTTTTTATTCCACATTTTTATTTCAATTGTGAAAATATTTCTAGATTATATAAACTTTCTTGTTCAAGCCCAGATAATCATCATATCATGATGTTGGTGTCTTTACCAAACCCTCTCTCTCTCTCTCTATTTTTTTTGTTATTCAATTTTTCTATTTATAAGTTGCGGTAATAATTAGATTATGTTGATAGCACTTTGTTATCTAATTCTAGATTTTGTTTCTTAAAAATAGATAATACAAGGATTTAATTTGGGAGATTCTGACGGGCCCAAATCCAAGCCCAAGCCCAAGCCCGAGGTGAAATCGTTGGGATGAAACCAGATGCATTCGCTCTTGTTGACCTCGTCCGAACTGCTACTGGTATTTTCTGCCACAAATTCGGACAACAGCTTCACAGTTATGCTATACGTTCTGGGTATCATTATTCTAATATTTATGTTTCTACCTCTTTGATCAAGTTTTATGTTACAGTGCATTCTTTCAATGATGCTCACAATCTGCTTGATGAAATTCCTGAACCAAATGTTGTTTCTTGGAACACTTTGATTTCTGGATATGTCCATGGTGGTCTGTTTAAAAGAGCATTGTCTGTTTTCGGAAATCTAGAAAGGTCGCAGATTTGTGCTGACGTGTTCTCTTTCACGTCTGCTATGACTGCTTGTGCCCAGCTCAGTTTGTTGAAACTGGGAAGTTCAATTCATTCTAAGACAGTGAAATTGGGAATGAGTAATGGCACTGTTGTGGCAAATTGTTTGATTGATTTGTATGGGAAATGCGGCTCTGTTGAACATGCTGTCAGGGTATTTTATGATGTTATTGACAAGGATGTTATTTCTTGGAATTCCGTCATAGCAGCATGTGCAAACAATGGTAACATTGAACTTGGTTTTAATTTTTTGCAGCTCATGCCTAACCCTGATTCAATTTCTTATAATGGGTTGATAAATGGAATTGCTCAAGGTGGAAGGATAGAAGATGCTGTTTCGATTTTGACTACTATGCCATGTCCGAATTCATCTTCTTGGAACTCTATAATTACTGGATTTGTAAATAGGAATCGAGTTTCTGAAGCTTTGGATATGTTTGGTAAAATGCAGTTGAGAAACTTGCAGATGGATGAGTTCACATTTTCAATAATTTTAAATGGAATTGCAGGTCTGTCAGCTTTAACATGGGGGATGCTGATTCATTGTTGTACAATAAAGAATGGTTTAGATTCATCAGTAGTTGTAGGGACTGCCCTGATCGATATGTACTCAAAATGTGGGAGGGTGAGTGATGCCGAATCAATATTCAATGTGCTTTCTGATAGGAATCTAGTAAGTTGGAATGCAATAATATCTGGATATGCTCGCAACGGTGATTTTGCACATGTTATCGGTCTCTTTGAGTCGCTGAAAATGGAAAGAGATACAAAACCTGACGGTATCACATTTCTTAACCTTATATCAGCATGTTCCCATAGCCAAATACCATTTGAGTCTGCTATTAGTTACTTTGATGCTATGATAAACGAATATGGGATTGCACCATCAATTGAGCATTGTTGTTCAATGATACGGCTCATGGGGCAAAAAGGTGAGTTGTGGAGAGCACAGAGGATGATACATGAATTTGGTTTTGAGTCTTGTGGAGTAGTTTGGAGGTCTTTGCTTGGTGCTTGTGGAACTCAGGAAGATTTACAAGTAGCAGAAGTTGCGGCTGCTAAGGTGATTGAATTGGAGAGGGATGAAGATTATGTGTATGTGATGTTGTCTAATATGTATGCATCTTTTGGAAGATGGGAAGATGTTAATGTAATTAGAAGCCTCATGAGTAAGAAAAGGGTTAGGAAAGAAGCAGGTTCTAGTTGGATACAAATAGATAGCTTTGTCCCATATGAAACCACATGAAAGAAGAGTATGACTAATCTCAAATATTGACTCATTTGTTCACTTATTTGCCTCTTAAACTAACTTGAGTGAGGAAGTGTCTCTCTAACTACCTCATTCCGTATTGTATTGATAAACTATCAAAAAGACTGATACCGAACTATCCATCATACGTGTATAAAGCAACTTTGAGCTTTGGACCACATTTTGGACAGAGAAAAATCAGTTTCATTTGTCCCCATCCAACATGGGAGAAAAATGTCATATGTATGATATTGATATAAGTCCGTACACGATTTTCTTTAGTACAAAGAAATGCCTTATTTGCTTCCTCCCACTGTGTTAGGCATATACTTTAGGAATGTTATTCTATCCTTTATAGACCAACTAACAACAACAATACGAATCTTTTCATTGATAGGCCTTTTCAAAAAACAATTTATTTGTTACTCGTAGCTTTTCTTTTCTTTTCTTTCTGAGTGTTGTCATAACTCTCAAATCCAGTTAAAGTTCATTCACCTTTCCCTACTCAAAAGTAACATCTTCCTTCTATTTGAAAAATTGACTGACTGAAAAAATATCTATTGTGAAGTTGTATAACCCAAAAATAAAAAAGGAACATCTTAAAATATCACAAACTAAGAATCATTAGGGTTTAGCCCATGTGATTCAACTCTGCTTTCTATCCTTTCGTATTCTTTCTTTTTACATACACACATAGATCAAAGAATGAAAATACATCTATGAGTTAAATCCTCAAGAACCCAAAAATAATATCAACAAGGCAAGTTCTAAAGAGAATATCCATTTAGAGAAACCGGTTTCTAACCGAACCGCTAGATTATAAGAATTCTCAGACTGCAACAAAGCACTTAAACTAAAGTTTGGATTAGAACCATAAAGAGATTGAACCCCCTCCACGTCATCAATTTTCAAGTCAACTTTTTTCTTCCTTGGGCTTATATTTGGGTACATAACTGCTTCTTTTATAGATGAATGCCCAAGCCCAAGCACGTGACCTATCTCGTGCGTCACAACTGATTCCAAATCAACGGCTATCCTTGAATCATCATGATCAAAATCAACGGCCCAATTTTCTGCTGCATCCAAATGAAATCTTCCATTCTGAGGAGAGAAAGCATGCGCTAAAACCCCCAAAACACCATCAAACGGTTCTCCGTCACCGTGATCGCCGAAATAAAATCCGATTCTAATATCCGCCGATTGATATTTCTCCGTCTCACGAAAACTGACCGGAATCACCGACGCCCACCGCTTAAAAGAACGTTCGAAAACCGTTCGGATGTCCGATAAGCTAAGCGTATCAATCATATCATACGGTGAGAAAGCATAACTAAGAGTCATCGGAGAGCCACGAAGCCACCGGGGTTTCCCGTTAAAGTAAGCGAAGTGACGCGTGGTGTGTATTCTACGCGTCGCGGTATCCGAAACACCACACCTCGGAGACTCAATCGTTGATATAGTCTCAGTATCAAGTTTTCCTGTTAACGGCAAACCGAGCTGTTTCTGATAGAGTAACACGGCTGACTGGAAGTTCGAATCGAACTTATCCGTGAAATTCGACGTCGTGTTCGGCTGAGTAAGATAACCGAAACGGTGGAAATACTTCTTCAGCTCCGCCATGCCGGTGACGTGGCTGCCTCGTTCCGCGTGAAGAAAGCTTGAGAAATTGTGCCACGTGGCGTTGTGTTTTTCAGAAGTTGTTATTACGGTTACGGATTCCGGTATAATCCTCGCGGTAAAGCATGGGCGGCAAATAAAGAGAGCCACAAAGAAGAAGAAAAAGTTAAAGTAACTGAAAAAAGGAAACATAACGATTAGTTAGTTATGTTTTTTTTTCAGGTGAAGATCAATTATGAAGCTTATATTAAATGAACGATAGTACTCTATAGTATAATGAATTTATGATAATTATGAGTTTAGAATCATATTATATACACATGCTTATGGAGATAGTTTTTGGTATGATACAAAGATAAGAAGATTCTGACCCTTTTGATGGGAGATCCTGACTTTTGAAGTGTGAAGGTGGGTAAACTAATTATGTTTCTGTTTAATTAAACTATATAATATATTTGGGGGTTTAATTTTGTTTGATGTTTTGGTCGTTGGTGGTGTGGTAACTGATTTGTCAAATGGAAATTGCATAGAAAATGAATTTTAATATTCAAAGTATGAATGATGAGATACGATTTGTTGAAGTTTAGCTGAGTTAGAAGAGCTAGATTAATGTTGGTTGACCAAATTTGGTGTTGGTAAAGTGGTTTAACTCGTCAGAAGCGAAAAAGATTGGATATTATTTGGGAAATTACTACGCAATGTGTGACAAATATTGCTTTCTCCGCTTAATTATTAATTCAAACACTATCTTTTTTCTATGGTGCTCGTATCATTTCAAAGGCTATAATTTTAAGTTACTCACTTTTAAGTTCTTATAACTTGTCAGGTGTATGTGCTATACCTCATATAACTTTTTACTCACTTATATTAATTTTTTAAGGAAAATAAGTTCTAATATTTTAGAACTCGGTTCAGAAGTGAGTTTAATTTTGTTCAAATATTATTTCAATCAATATTCAAACTCAAATTCTTTTAACAATTAAATTTTACTAGCTACATCAATCCACCTATTTTATTTTTTCATACTTATAATTTGAAATTCGTTTCATAATGATAATTAACATTTTTTGTTGTAGAGGTGATCTGACCTGATCAGAAGGAGATCACGGGCTGATCATACGCTGTTGGATTGCTACCTGTTCACCGGTGATGAGAAGCAGAAAGGGGGTGTATCTGCAAGGCACTCCGATGTCAAAGTAAGGAATTGAGGAGAGTGAGAGCAAAGTACAAAAATGGAGTAAGAAGTGAATTACCTGACCCTCTTGAGGAAGAGGGTATTTATAGAGACCTTAGCGCTGGGCCAACGGTCACTTGTGTTGGGCTGGATGGCCAGGCCCAACCCAGGTGACTGCTAGGGCTTACGTGACGTAGTGAAGAGCAGGACGTGGTCTTCGCCCTAGTCCAACTGTCCCGTGGCCTCCGGAAAGTGGGTTTGACCTGCTCTTTCGGAGGTGGGCAGTTGAGGAATGACGTGTCCCTGCGGAGAGGAGCACGTGCGCCTGACACGTTGTTCTCCTCGTGGAGGGGAGCTCAGGAGGTTCCCCGGCGGTGTGTGATTCTCTCCGCGGAAGGGAGCATACGAGAGCGGGGCGAGACATATTGTCTTACCCGTTGGCAGGGGGGATTCTGCCCGTGGAGGTTGTTCTATCCGACTAGGGGGAGCGCCGAGGACGCTTAGAAGCGCGCCGTCCTGCTCGGCAGGGAGCCTGTCCTGCCCCGTTGGGGCGTGTGTCCGGCCAGACTACTCAACTCATTGGCCTTGACTGTGCGTTATTGGGCTGGGCCGCGAGGCTGGGCCCAAGCCAGAACAAGAGGTGATGGACATTATTAGCAATACTATAAACAAGATTGTCAGCAATACTATAAACAAGATTGTCAGAATATATAATAATGATAAGTTAGCGTAATTAAAACAATTAAGAGTTGTTGTTAAACACTTATTGATTATTATATGTGGGAAAGTAGTTCAACAATTACTAATAAGATTTAAACCATTGTTATAAAAACTTGAATGACCCGGTCGGTCAAATTGATTGAACCAGGAATAAAAAAGATCATCGGTTTGAGATCAGGTAAGCTGTTGAATTAGTGATAATCATCAAAACCGATGAATCGATAGTTTTAAAAAATCTGAGTGTAACAGTAACATATCTTAAGAGTCGATCTCTCCAGCATCTGCATATTACACTTCTTCTTATGTTTTTCTCTTTATTCCTTCTTTCTCTGGCAATCTCGAGCATAATGACATAGTCCTTGACAATTGTAACACTGCACCTCTTTCATGTCAACTTTTTTTCCTGAATACTTGTTGTCAATTTTTCTTAGTTGAATCAGAATGATTATTTGAATTCTTGTTTGACTTCTTTCATCTATGTTATTTTAAACTGCTTTCTCAGCATCCGTAACTTCACCCTCTTCAGTTTTTCATCTTTGTCGTATAAGTTCTTTAACTTGTCCACGCTCCTTTCGACGTTTCTTCTTCAATGATCTTCTTAAACACGTTAAGATCCACAACCGGTGAATCAAGAAAAGAGCTTTTCCATCTTTCTTCCTTTGATTCTTGTGCGCAGCCTTCTGAACATCATTTGTATTCACTTTCAATGCATGTGCTCCATCAATCACGATTTAAGCCACATCTTGAAACCTGAAGATGACATTCATTTGTGCAATCCACTTCTCATAATTTTCACTTTTGAAAATCGGTAGATTCGTTGAAAATTACATTGATGTTGTGTTACCGTTTGCCATTATATATTCTCTCTTAATCGCAATTGGGCTCATTGATATCAATTTGTTGAAACAATTAAGACTTTAAAAAAGAACGAATAAAAAAGAGAAGAGATAAGAGACTATATTATAAAATTTTTTTTTCTATCATGAGATTATTATTATGATTTACAATGTTAGATGTATATATAAATAACATAACATATAATTTACAAATGACAGAATTCAACTTTATCGATACATACTTATACTTTGATACACATATTATTTTTAACTAATACACTTACGTCAAATACAACTTTCCTAAGGCACTGTATTATATCTTCTAATAAATATTATATCATGAATCACAACTTATTGAATGAAATTGGGTCTATGGTGTTTTCCATTTCAAAAGGCGTGTTATGAAATTCAAATTTGTTTTTATAATAGTAAAATTCAAACATGAATGCTAAAGTGATTGAAGGATGACTGGTCAAAAAACAAAATATGATTTCAACGTTTATGCAGACGCAAATGCATTTTAGTATATTTATCATCCGAAATGGAGGGCTAGTTTCCTGTCCTCATCACTAATTCACTTATTTGTTATTGTTTTATTCCTACATTCCTAACCCACGTAATACCCGTATACTAATTAAAAGGGAATATTTTAATTTTTAAAAGGAAATAATTGTTGTATATATACTAAAAATCATAATCAGAACTAATGAAAAATAAGAAAAATAGCAAGATAAGGATTATGGATCAGGGTCAACACAACATAGCTTAATATATCTAAATTATTTAATTGATGTATATTTATATTTAAATATTCTTAATTATATTTTTAATGGTTATACAAATTAGTTCTCACGTTTAAATGAAAAAAAAGTACTATTAAAGATTTGAAATGGTTACACAAATTGGTTGGAATATTATTTTGAAATTTGTTTTAGTTAGGTACATGCAAAATGAAGAAGTTGAGAAGGTTACCAAATTGAGAAGATTAGAGGTGATTCAGTATTTTGCTTCATCTTCCTACGTTGGACTCTTGTTTTTATTCTTAAAATTATACTAATATTGTTTGCAATCGCTTTCAATACGCCATTAGGTTATCTACATGACGAGTGTGACACTAATCTTTTATATTTTAATTTTTCTCTTTATCAATGGTAATTTGTGGACCTAGATTTTATTTCTTTATTAATTATTCCAGTGATAATGGTGTTGCTATTTGTGACGGCTAAATAAGCTTTGAACACAAGCCAAGAGACAAGAATATGCAGTCAAAGAAACAAAAGTGAATATTGGTTTCACTTTCTGAGAAACGAATTGACTATACTAATATAAGGTACCCCACATTCTGTTCCTATTGTGATGCTTTGATCTCTTTAACTTCTTCAACCAAACATCAACTTCTAAACTACGACATAACTATGTAACATTTACGGTAGAAACAAAAAAGATATTGACATTAACTTGAATTTTCTCCGTTCTATTTCAATAAGTCCATTGACCACATCTCACATATATTAAAAAAAAGTTCGAGAAATGATATAGTGAGAAAAATTAACACTCCATACTTATGATGAATTTAAAAGACTAGAAACTTTGATGTTTATTTACTATTGCGAGCATATTAGAGAAGTGTTAGAGACGAGTTAGTTTAAGTAGCATCTTAGTGATAAAATTTGGTTTATGTAGAAGTTAGTTACACACTCTTAAAGAAGTCGAAAGTGGCTTTGTTAACATATGCGCAATCTGGACATATGAGCTGGACATGTTGGATGAGTAGTTGCTTCTCCACCACCTTCTCGCGGACAAAATAAATGTCAAGTTCAATATGCTTCATTTTTGCATGAAGAATAAGATTATGAGACATGATTAAAACACTGAGGTTGTCACACAATATGGTAGGAACTAAGTAAGAAATCTCTAGTTCAGCAAGCAATGATTCTAGCCACAATACTTCTGAAGCCGTATGAGCTAGCGTTGAATATTCTACTTCAGTGCTTGAGCACGCAACTAATACTCATTTCTTCGAGCTCCATCACACAAGATTATGGCCAAAATACACATATGATCCTGAGGTAGAACGACGATCATCCAGTTCACTGGCCCAATCAGAATCATTGTATGCACGTAGAGAGGACTTTTGATCTGAATTGGTTGGAGCAAGCATTAAATCATGACTAAGATACGTTTGAGCACACCAATGAGTCTCCAAAGGATTGGCTATAAACTGATAAGCCTTATTGACATAGAATGCAATATCTGGTCAAGTAAGTGTGAGATATTGCAAAGCTCTAACTATTGAACGATAGAGAAGTGGATCTAGTAAGACCTTCATCCCATGTTTGATTAGTTTGCAACTACTGACCATAGGTGTGAGAACTCCCTTAGCACCATACATGTTTACATTGGGTCACAGGTCCTGAATATACTTGGTTTGCGTAAGCAGCATGAAGTCATTTGGTTGATGA